CACCACAGAGCTTGAGAGATATACTCTTGAGGCCAAGTCCATGGAGGACTGGATGCCATGCCCTGGGCCTCAGCGCACCTGCTGTCTTTCTTCTCCCGGAAGGTATGCCCACCCTTCCTTCCGTGGCTCATGGGCTGGGAGGCTTGTTTCTCCCAAGAGCTGTGGGCTTCTGGAGGGGTGCTCCTATTCATCTTTGGGCCCCCAAAGCTTCCATACCACACCTGACATAGTGCCTGTTAGCCACAGAACAAAGAAACAGAGGGACCTCTTATTTCAGAAACAGAGAAGTTCCAGAGACAATAGCCAAACTTTGGAGTGTGGCAGACCCAACTTAGATTGTGGCTCATCACTCACGAGTGTGACCTAAAGCAAAGTGGTTCATCTCCTTCAGCCTCGGTTCTTTGGCCAAAAATAGACACAATAATAGCTACCTCTGCAGGCTGTTGTAGGGATTAGAGATGATGTCAGAGACAAACACCAATAGGCCACAGCCCAGCGCATAGTAGGAGCTCAATAAACAGAAGCAGTGATTACCTGTGGTCACAGGATTGTTTGTGTGTGTGCCTGAAGCAGTCTTGCTCCAAGAACTTTTGAGTTCATAGCAAGTGACACACAGCTTTTGGCGCTGCAGGAATTTTTCTCGTTTTGGTCTTCACGTGAATGATGGGGGTCTCAGCATGGTTTATTCTGCAATGGGGACATCAGCATCTTGACATAGTAGCCTGGATACTCAGTGGCACTCACCCGCTGTCTGCTGAGAGCTACTACTGGGGCTTGGGGTAGAGATGGGAAGCGGCTGTGGCCTCTGTCAGCAGTTGGGAATGAAACTGATGTTTGGGTTGGAACAGATGGCACAGGGATCTAGCTGCTGCCACTCACAACTTTTACCTTTGAAGATTCCTGTTGATGTTTTGAGATAGGGTCTCAAGGCGTTTTAAAAATTTGATTGTGTAGGAATACATGCAACCACTTTATAGAAGTCCCCTGTCCAGGGCTTTATATTCCATGGTTTCAGGCACCAGGATCACTACAGTAAAAAAAAAAAAAAAATTAATGGGAAATGATATATCTTGAGATAAAGAGGGAGGAGAGGGAAGAACAGCAAAGACACATCCATACAGCTTTATAAATTAGCCGAGATGCCAGGCAGTGGTGGCGCACGGCTTTAATCCCAGTGCTCGGAAGGCAGAGGCAGGCGGATCTCTGTGAGTTTGAGACCAGCCTGGTCTATAAGAACTAGTTCCAGGATGAACTCCAAAGCCACAGAGAAACCCTGTCTCGAAAAACCAAAAAAAAAAAAAAAAAAAAAAAAAAAAAAAAAAAGCAGAGACAACTGGCTAACAAACACTATGACCCCAAAGAAAGTTTAGAAGATCCAATTTGTTGTTTTTAAAATTTATTCATTTATTTGTGTTTACATGGAGGTCAGAGGACACCTTGCAAGAGACAGTTCCCTCCTTCCACTGTTTTTGTCTCAGGGATTGAACTCATGTGGTCAGGTTTGGCGGCAAGTGCCTCTCTACACACTGAACCACCTCACAGGCTCAGGAGATCCAGTCTGTAACATGCCTGCCTTCTCCAGCCTGGAGATCCATTCTCCATTAATCCTCTGGCACTGATGTTATGCTGTGGCCCCCTTATGCCTCCAGCCTGGTGTCCGCAGGGGGAGCTGTGGGTGGTTGCAGGGCACACAAGCGGGGGTGGAATACACTGATGTATCATCAGGACCAACATGCAGGAGAGCAGGTGTCCAAACAGGATCCGGTAACTTAGGGAGGAGCCAGAGGGTGGGAAGGAAGCATGTTGGTTTTGGACAGGAGAATGGGACAGCTTAGGTCAGGTGACTGCCATTACTTGGGAGAGTAGACCCAGAAGATAGATCCCAGAAGCCCCTTCCTACAGCAAGCCAGCCCTCACCACCCCAAACACAGCCAGGCACAGCCTTGCAACTGAACCCACACTCTCCGGTGTTTTCTTTTCATGTTGTCCATTTGCCAGCATTTTCTTCCAGCTCTGCCCTTTTAGGGCTGACCACAGTACTTTTACCCAGTCTCATGGAACTGTGGGTATCCGGGCGTTGGTGGCACACACCTTTAATCCCAGTACTCTGGAGGCAGAGCCAGGCGGATCTCTGTGAGTTCAAGGCCAGCCTGGTCTTCAGAGTGAGTGCCCTGATAGGCTCCAAAACTACACAGAGAAACCCTGTCTGGAAAAACAAAAACAAACAAACAAACAAACAAACAAACAAACAAAAAGAACTGTGGGTGAAGGACCTTTAATCCCTGGAGTGGGGCCTTGTAGTCATTCCTGACAACAGCTCAGCCAGCAACCCTATAAGGGCATCACTCCTCTCTCATGGTCAGGCCATGCCAGGGCTGGAAGACTCTGAGTTCTTTAATGGTGTTGGCACCCATCTAGCCCTGTATCTTACTGGCCCAGGCTCTGTGGTAGAAACAGCTGAAGAAAATTTTCCTCCTTGGATTGGCAAGATTGTTCAGTGGATAAAGGTTTTGTCACCAAGTCTGAATACCTGAGTTTGATCCCAGTGACCTTAGAGAGGAAGAGCTGGCTCCTAAAAGTTGTCTTTGTGCTTCTGTGCACCCCCTGTGCATAGACATACATGTATACAGAATAAGTAGATGAAATACAGTGAAAAGCTGGGCCTGGTGATACAGGCCTTTAGTGCCAGGACTTGGGAGGCAGAGACAGGCAGATCTCTGTGAGTCTGAAGCTAGTCTGACCTACATAGAGGTCCAGGCCAGCCAAGAATACAGACTCTGTCTCAAAACAAATAATAATAATAATAATAATAATAATAATAATAATAATAAATACAATAATAATATATTTTAAAGAAGCTTTCTTTCCTCCTAGTGAGATGATTTTCCCCCCAGCCTGCCTCTCCTCAAGGGCTTTTTAGCCAGCTGCAGGCAACTTCATTTCCATTGTAATCTGTCAGGGTGCGTCTTCCAGAAGCAAGGCCTCAGACTCTTCGGAACAGAAGGAACTTTTGAACCTAGGGTCCACACATTTTATAGATGAGGAAACGGAGAGGTTGCCTAAGGTCACACAGACAGTGGGAGAGGGCTGGATCAGTTGGCCCTGCTCTTTCCCTGCCACCCACTGACCTTGGTGACCAGCTGGAAGGAAAAGGAGGCATTCACAGTAGTGCAGCATGCTTCTCCATCTTGTTTTGTTTGACTGTTTTCTGAGTCAGGCAGAGCCTTCCAACTGATCCACATTTCCAGTCTTTTCTTCCCATTCTGCCTATCCACGAGCGTTGTCAGCCAACTCTGCCAGCTTAGGTACAGCCATTATACCTGGAAGTCATGGCCTCCTTTCATGGCAAAGGACTGGTACTGCTCTCTCACACTAATGCTGACCAGGCTGGCCTCCATTTCCAAATCCTTCTGCCTCAGCCTCCAAGTGTTGGGATTATAGGTGTGTGCCACTATATCCAGCTGAGACCGCATTCCTAAGATGGCATTGTTTTTGTTTGTTTGCTTGTTTTCAGGGGTAGCTCACATCTCCTTATTAAAATTTTGAATTTGGCCTTAGGTGTGCCATTGTGTAGTTCTTTGTCAGTAGTGTGCAAGGACTTCTCGGCACAGGCCAGTTCAGTCTAGGTGATTTTTTTTCTTTTTGATTTTTCTAGACAGGGTTTTTCTGTGTAGCTTTGGAGCCTGTCCTGGAACTCGCTCTGTAGGCCAGGCTGGTCTCTCACTCAGAGATCCTCCTGCCTCTGTCTCTGCCTCCCCAGTGCTGGATCAGAGGCATGGGCCACCACTGAGTGGCCTAGACTAGGTGATGTTAATCTGATCCTACTCCTAGTTGTGAGACTCTCCTTTACTGGGCTTGGGGACAATGACAGAATCTACCTGAGGCTACCTGGAGGGTCAGGTAAGGTCATCTGTGGAAAGTGCTTTCTTGTGCCTGGGAACAAGTGCTATGTGTGGTCATCCCTGGGATCTGACTGGAAGTGATACTTTGTGTCCTGTCTGTGGTTCTTTTCCTTTTGGTCTAACCCAGACCAGTTTCTGGGAAGGGGGTTAAGATAAGTGCCCCAAGTGTTTATCCAGAGCTAGAGGCCCTGAGCCCATGGAGACCCTCAGGGTGCCATGAGCATTAGGCAGATGAAGGATCCCAGGAGAGACCCCCTGCTGCCATCCCCTAGATCAGAACAGGTTGTACTGGTGTCAGAGACACTGACCACCTGAGACCTAGCTCAGTCCAGTTGGAGCCAAGTTCCTTTTTATGAAGCCGAGGCTGACCTTCAGCTTCTGATACACCTATGCTGTTTGAACTCCTGAAATTACAAGTATTACAACTCCCAGCTCAGGGTAGGGCAGGGCCGGGCAGGATCTCACTGTGTAGCCCTGGCTGGGTCAGAACTTGATCTGTAGATCAGTTTAGCCTCAGACTCAGAGATCCACCTGTGTCTGTCTCCTGAGTGCTGAGATTAAAGGGTCTGTCACCATGCCCAGCTCAGGTCAGGGTCTTGTCTTGACAGAAACCCAGGAAACTGAGAGGGAAAAAGTCTTGGCAAGAAGCAGCAATTGTTTTAATGACTTTCTCTGCATGAAGGAAAAAGAGGTCCAAGAGGAAAACACAAACCCCCAGAAATACAGAAAATATTAGTTCTCTGACTTACTAGTTGAGTAGAAGTTTATAAAACAAGACAAACAATACAAAGTGTAAGGACACAGAGATGCAAACAGTGCTTCCTGACATGGTGGGTCTTACATTCAAGAAGTTAAGAGGATAAGCAGCCTAGACACACTAAGGTAAAATGAAGCAAGTCTCCATATCAGTCCATATTCAGTCCAGAGATAGTCTAAGAAGCTTCTGTCCTCTTGAGTGAGCCCCAGCTGGGGCCAGGTCCTGGGTTTGTGCACATACTGAACTGAGGAGGCAGGGGAGGGTGTACTGTTTGGCATTTGGGGCTTCTCAGCCTGTCACAGTCTGGGCCTATCTGTGGATCTGTCTCTCATTCTCTACAGGTTGCCTATAGCTCCTTGGACCCATGAGACACAAGCCTTTTTGACCTACAACCCTTTTCTGGTCTCAGCAGGATACCCAAACACAACAGTGGACAAAGACCTACTCCCTCGGAGGAGCTACTCAGTCCAAGGCATTTGGAAACCAGAGACAACAGAGATTTTTATTAACCATCGAACAGACTCCCTCTCTTAAGTTTCTGGTATGTGGATTATTATTGTCTCAAATTTTGCTGCTGCTCAAGAATTTTTGACTTAGCCAGGAAAAAAAAAAAAAAAAAAGATTCGGGGCCTGTTTCTCCCCTTGTCTTAGTACTTGGACTTGGTATCAAAAAATTCCCAGCCCATCTGGTCAAAGAGTATATTAGTAGGACCCACCGCCAGACTTAGCCACACCCAGACAGTCAGTTGTCATCAGGCTTACCAGGAAAACTGGGGCCTGGAGAAGGATGTGGAAGGAGGTGATGCCAGGGGGTAGGGAAAGAGAGAGAGGTGAGGCACTGTGCAGGGCAGGGGAGGAGGAACTGTGGTCTTTAATGGAACATCTCAGAGAACAGGGTAGGTCTGCATCACCACCCCCAGAACCAAGGCACAGAGGAGGTTTGAAATGTCCAGGATAAATAGAACCAATGGGGTTGGAGAAAAAGCCAGCTCCATCCCTTTTAAAAACAGTCTTACTGTGGGCACCAAAAATATATTAATATCTATATATTTGTCATCTTAAAAAAAAAGGAAATAAAACCTCCTTGGCACCTTGTGGTTAGTTTCTTAAGAATGAGTTGATATGGAAAGGCCATGAGTGCACATGCACATGAGAATAAACCACACATAAAGCAGTGTGATGCGCGCACACACACATGGCTGTACACATGTGGGCCTCTGATGAAAGGGCAGAGCCCTTGGAACCCTGAGAATTAGCCCTGCAGGTATGTGGGCTGCTGCCAGCCCCACCGCCACAGTAGTTTGCAGGGATGCTCTTTGCTGGTGTCTTGACTCTGCAGTTCATGGGGATCCATTGCCCATCTTGACTCAGGCTCCCCTCTCAACACATCTCCCAAGTTCTGCTGCAAGGAAACAGGGCCTGTCTGTATAAGCAGCTGTTTTTAATCACTTGGCCTCACCCTGCTCTGACACAGGCACCCTTCGTTCCAAGCTCAGAATGGACTCTGCTTGTAAGACAGACTTCCAAAAGTGAGCGAAGTCAGTGCCTGAGTGTGCGGTGTGCCTGCCGTGAGGCCTTAGGACTCTGGTCCTGATACTGATGTTCTGGCAAGAGGCTGCAGGAAGGTGAACCGGCTGGGCAGCAGGGAAGTGATCCTGGTCCTTCCTGGGGCCTGGGCTGCTCAGAGGTGGGGGCTGCCCTGCAGTAGGGAAGTGACAGTATTCTGCAGGGCCACAGCCACTTTCTTGGAGGTCTTTCGTAGCAGTGGGCTGTCGGGGTGGTTTTCCTTGAGGTGCAAGACATGACCCTCCTGACTCTCAGATGTGCAGCCACATTCTTCACACACATACAGCTTGGCCCGGCGCTCCTTGTATGCATACTTCTGCTGCACGCCATGGATCTTTTTGAGGTGGGACTCCAGAGAGCAGCGTTGGGTGAAGGCCTTGTCACACAGGCTGCACTTGTAGGGCCGCACACCTGTGAACAACAGGGGTCAGCATCAGGACCATGATGGCCTGTGGAGCCTGTCTGAAGCATCCACACACAGAAAGGTCAGGGCACCTGAGTGCCAGGTAACCAACAAGTGGCCTCAGAATCCAGTCCTTGTCTGAGTTCAGGACTCTGCCCTAAGCTTTGGTATGTGCTTCCCAGGCCCCAGACCGGTCTGAGGCATCCCCTCCAGAGGCAGATTTCACTTACCAGTGTGGGTTCTGACATGTCTCTTGAGGTCAAAGGTGTCATTGAAGCCCTTCCCACAGTATGTGCAGAGGTGCCTCTTGACGTCATTGTGACACTTCATGTGTCTGTTCAGCATGCGCTGGTAAGTGAAGGCCTTCTGGCAGATGTGACAGGTAAAAAGGTCTCCATTTGGACTGTCCCCCAAGGTCACCTGTGGGTGAGGATGGTATTTGTGGCAGATATCTAGAAATCAGGACACAGGCTGGCAGATATGACAGCCCCCTTCCATCCCCACACCACTCTCAAGAAAAGCAGACCTACCCTCCAGAGGCCACAGCCTGTGGCATTTACTAACAGGAGCTGCAAAGACCCTCTGGGTATTGGCCCAGCTTTCTGTTGGGCTCCCCAAGCCCCTTTTGAGGCTGCCACCCTGAACTTTCCATCCCAAGTGCTGGAGCTACAACAGTGTGTCATTATGGCTGGTCAACGTGGGCTGAGGGTTAAACCCAGGTTCTATGTATGCAAGCAAGCACTCTACCCACTGAGCTAGACCTCCAGCCTTAGAAATATTTTTCTTTGTTTTTATAAAAAGTTTTGTTTATGGGTGTCTTGCCTGCGTGTTCATATGTCATGTCTGTGCACCACATGCTTGCCCAGTGCCCAAGGAGGCCAGAAGATATCTTATCCCCTGAAACTGGAGTTACAGAAAGCTGGGAGGGACCATATGGGTGCTGGGAATTGAACCCAGGTCCTCTGGAAGAGGACTGGAAGACTGATGACCCATCTCTCCAGCTCCATGATTTTCTTTTTTTTTTTTAATTATGGAAAATTTCAAATTTATGCAATGGTGGAAAAACTAATATCATGGTCTTTTATCCGTTGCTCAGTGCAGGTCTTATTCCATTCTTATCACCCTCCTGCTCTTTGTCTGGGTCATGTGACATACCCTGATGCCACCCCCGGACACTGTTTAGAGTAGCTGTGGCAGCATTCTAGGTGTGGCCACAAAGGTGTGGCTGAGTGGCCAGGTCTCTTTCTTAACTCTGTTCACATGCAGTGATTGTCTGGATTCTGTCAGTGGCCTGCCACTAGCCATTCCTCCTGAGATCGTGGGCATCTGTCATACCATACTTCCATTTGGCACCCCTCCCTCTATCCTGCTTTTGGTGCTTGGGGAATTCCCTGTCTCTTGCCAATTAAGATCCTTTGAAACAGGACCCAGTTCTCTGTCTCCTATGTTGTCCTGCCCTGTGTTCTGCTCTCCCTACCTATAGAGGTCTGAGAAAGGCTGGTAAGGAGGATGGATGACAGGTGCTTTAAAGATCAAGAGAGCCCTAGTGGCTATGACCAATCACAGCCCCACCCCCATCAGCCACCTCTGGCCTTTGCAGTCAGGAAGAGAAGGGACAGAACTCTCCCTCCAGCCATATCTATTCTTTTGGCATGAGTGATGACCCCTAGAGGAACATCCTTCGCTAGATCTTTGCCAGCAGGTGTTCCCAAGCCCTGGGGCTTTCAGGAGTGTCCACCCAGCCAGGGCAGCTGGCGGCTTCCTCTCCTCTGTAACAAGCATCAGGTGGTGCTACTGAGCATGAGTGAGGGTGGGGTAGGGGCTGCTCCTGCCCTGTGCACAGCCTGCTCACTGCCATATGCTTTAAGGACAGCTACTACCTCATTGATCCAGACCTCTTGCTCCATGCCCCTACGGGCCTCTGCAAGATGTAACTGGGCCTGGCTCTAGCTAGCCTCTTCACTTTTAGACTTTGTGTGCTCTCCTGTCTTTTGTGGCTAGAAATGAGACCAGATCACTTGCTGATACAGACACCAAAGGGTTGGACAATTTCATTTCCTATCTACTTCTTTCCTCCGTGTGCTCCATCTAAGTGAGTCTCTGTAAAAATCACAGTTCAGGACTCAGACTGGTCTAACCCCATAGGTTAGACATGGTCTCCACACATGCCCCTGGTCCTCAAGACAGAATGAAAGTTATTACCTTCATCTTAGTTCGTAGGAAACCCTGGTCTCTGCTCTGAGGATCTGTCAGATGGTTCACATCTTCAGAAGGTAGCTGGGCCACCACACAGGGTCCTGGGGCCACACTATAGCTGGAGTCCCGAAGGCTCATGTCCAAAGCCAGAGGGCAAGATGGGGGTTCGGCCACAGATGGCTCTGGTTCCCGGTAGGGCGGTGGTGGATAGAAGCCCAGGCTGACTGGAGGGAGAAGAACAGCCAGGTGAGGGTGGGTGGAAAAAAATCCATCAGAGTTCCAGGAAGATTCATAAGCAAGGATAAGGCTGGAATCTGCAGCCTCCCTTCCTCCGGTTGCAGGCATGTGGCAGAGCAGGGCGGGCCCTTAGGCCATCAGATGCTGTACCTCCCTCCTGCCCCATTAAGGTAATTACAGGTGACGCCAGCCAAGAGCCACTGCCCCCTGAGTAACTTCTCTTAGCGGAACTGGGAGGACTGAGTTGCCCTGCCAATTATGCTTCGAAGTGTCTGCCGCCCCACCTGGGCCTGTTGCTCTGGATTCCAGCATGCCCTTACTCCTCTGGGGACAAAGGGCACCACTGGAAGCCCTGGCCAGGAAAAGTTCCTTCAGACTCATTCTAATCCTTGAAGGATCATTGGCAGTCTGGACCCTTCTGGGCCTCTCCAATGGGCAGACCTTTGGGGTTTGGATGGTCCTAGCCTTTCCTCCCCTGACCTGGCCAAATTCTGTTACTGTAGCCCATCCGGACTCCTGGGCTCAGGCTGGGCTCAGCTCTGTCAGCAAAGAAGCCAGGTGGGTGGAGAGGGAGGAGGCCAGGGAGCAGCAGGTGGATGCTCGTAACAGTCTCTGGGCGCCCTGCCCAGCGCTTACACAACCCTCCCCCACTGCGGGACCGCTCACTGTGGCAGTCAGGCTGGGCACCCTCCGGCAGTGCAGTGGCATCACCGATACCTGGCAGCCCTTTGACAAGGCCGCTCCCCTCAACAAACACCGTGAACTAAACGGGCCAGGCCTACAAGGCTGGGCTAGAACCGTGAGCCCTAGTCCTTGTAGTACAGACATAGAAATACAGACAGTAAGTCTCAAGGCCAACAGAGCTGGGACAAGAAGTATAATTTTCCAATTAGTCAGTACAACCTAAGCTCTGTACCTAAGAACCTATGAATTAGTAACTTTCCTAGTTTCAGAAGGAAAAAAAATCAAGAGAGGGCCTGGTACAGAAATGATGAATGAATCCAACGGGTTCAGACAGAATAGGGGCTTCGGGGCTTCAAGCTAGACTCTCTGAATACTGTATTACAAGCCAGAGATGCCAATGGAGGGCAAGGACCCAGGCCCAGGGTATTACCTTCACCTCTTCTGGGGGACCGCCAGGGCTGTAGGGGAAGGTAAATAGAAAAGTTTCGGGAGAGGCCCAGTTCTCGCCCCCTCAAAACACAACAAAGGTCTGACAGAGGAAGAATGCGCCTGCCTGCCGCCCAGAACCCGTTCTTCTAGCGCTGGCGGCGTCCGTCTGTCCAGGGGGTGGGGGGGACCTTAATGAGCCACCTCATTCCAGGAGTTGATTCACTAGCGCCTGGCCCTGGCCTGGCCCCTGAGCTGGCATACCTCCTCTCTCTGAGCCATGCTGACTGGTGCCAGGCTCAAGCTTTGAGTCTAGCTTACAGAGACCAGTCTGTCTATAGTGGGGTCTGTGTGACACCAGGACTACAACCAGGACAGTGGGGTCAGAATAATGGTGGCTCTGGTGCCACTTTAAGACAGACCCTGGCTGAAAGTCCAAAATTAGATGACAATATCCACTTCTCAACCCAAGTAAAATGGACACCTCTACCATCCTCAGTCTGTCACTTTGGGTTGGTGTGAGTCAGGTGTCTGAAAGCCAGCCCTGGGTGTAGGATCAGCAGAGGGTAGAGTGACAGCCTGGGAGGTAAGCTGCCATACTTGACTCCTTGGCTGAGCCAGGAGTCTGAGGACTGCAATCCATTGTAGAGGACGAGCCCTTGCCTTTCTTTGTCCCTCTATACTAACCTGGAAAGGCCATTAAGGATATAGCTGGCTAGATGGGCACACCGTGCTGTCTCTGTCCTGAGCAAAGAGCCAATTAGACTGTCAGGGTGGGGATGTTTGCCTCAATTTACCCACCCCACCAAACCTGTCTCCCTGCCACCCCCACAAATGTGTGTCTACCAGGGCTGCACGCATAGGGAGTATTCACTGGCGTGCTATCCGCCTATCCTGAGTGCCACTGAATGGCAGGAGACAAAACTGGTTGGACCTTGCTGGTGCTCCTCTCTGTCCCCTAATTAGATGTTTCCTGCAAGGCAGTGGCCACTGTGGCTAAAAAACATCACCCCCGCCCACAGCCACTGAGTGTGGCAAGGCCAACCCAGCTAGCCCTCTTCCTCCTCCCTTCGGGGCTGGTAAGTTCTCTCCCGTCGCCTTTGCCTGGGTGATGTTACAGAGCTGGCCTGGAGCAGCAGACCAGAATTGAAAAGGTTGCCCATCCATGGGCTATCTCCTGACCTGCCCTCCACAGGCCTCCTTTCTTTCAGTCACTGTCCCAAATACCAGGCAGATTGCCAGGTCCTAGCCCAAAAAAGCGTCCAGATAGGGCTGTCCATAAGCTGGGGAGCTTTCTGGACAGAACAAGTTGACATGAGCATGCCTAAAATACAGGTGTCGTGTGCACATGTGGACCAACCCTGTTCTGAGTGTGGTCTGCACTCCCCAGGCTGGCTTTAGCTGCCTTGTACACTTATCAGGAAGGGCTGGGTCCCTATGTTCAGCTCCCTTAGTCCTTCGGGTCAGCTAGCTGGCACCTGAAAGGAGCAGCGGCAGCCTGCTAGCAGATGCTGCCATGCCCGAGCACAACAGGCCTGGTTCTTAGCCTTCTGTTGCCCTTCTGTTTGATGTCAGCAGCCCCAAGGCAGGAGCTCTCCTTTCCTAACTGCTCTCCTTTCATTCAGTGTCTGTGCTGAAGTTAAACTCAACTCTTGGCCCTTGTGCCCAGGGGCCTGGCTTTGAACAGAAGAGAACTGTACTTGCTATAGCATCCTCACCCTCTCACCCAGCATGGGTCAGGGTCCACCTGCCTCTCATATATTGTGTTCTGAAAATGAACAATAACACAAACACCAACAATGGCTAAGATGTGCTCCCCAAGCCTGAAGCACTATCCTCACCATCTTTTCTGGGATAGTTTAGCAGCTTCTGTCTTAGGACATCCAAGCTTGAGTGACAGTGTCTCATAAGACAGGTTGAGAGTTGCATTACCAGCTGCCCTTATATCCATGTCCTGGCTAGCTGACCCCTTCACTTGCCAGTACTCTCAGCAGTTGCTAAAATGATCGTGAAAGAAGCTCAGCCTTCCCACATGCGCTACATGAGCTGGGGGTCCTACCCAGCTAGGCAAGAACAGTCAGAGGCAGGTGGATCTCTGAGTTTGAGGCCAGTCTGGTCTGCAAAATAGTAACAGGACAGCCAGGGCTACACAGAGAAACCCTGTCTCAAAGAAACAACAACAAAAGATGCCCAGCGTGGTAGTAAATAGATCTCTACGAGTTTGAGGCCAGCACGGTCTACATAGTGAGTTCCAGGACAGTCAGGGTTAGACAGTGAGACCCTGTGTCAAACAACAACAAAAGTTGGTCAGGTTCCTACACTATCTAGAGCTGAAGGAATACCAGGGCTCCTGCACTTCAGCCTGGCTGACCTTGTCTCCTTGTTTGTTTGCTTCTTTGAGACAAGGTCTCAAGTGGCCTCAAATTTGTTATGGGTCTGAGGCTGACCTTGCTCCAGATCTTCCCTCTTTCAGGGTCTAAGGGCTGAGATTACAGGTGTGCACTGTACCTAGCTTCTGAGTTTGGACATGTGCTGCCAGAACAAACCAGCAAGCCAGACTTTTGCCAGGGGAGGGTTGGAAGTGGGGGGTCTCAGAGCCTGGGAGAGGCTCTTGGTATTCTCCTGGAGTTCCAGTTTTCAGGCTCGGTCTGTCCCCAGGTCCCTTCCTGACTTGGCTTCACTCAACATGGATCAGCTTCAGAGAAACTGTTCCACTGTGGTTCCTTGAGCCCTTCCATAGTGCAGGAGTGGAATTTACCCCCAATTACAGGTACCTATTTCATTCTGAAAACAACAACAACAAAATCCTTCCCTGTCACCACAGAGTGAACACAACCAAACAGAGACAGGAAAGATGGTGGACAGTGGAGAGGAGCCAAGTGAACCCTAAGCTGTGCTGTCTTCAGTAGGGAATAGCATCATTTCCTCACTTGCCTGTCTTCCATTGCAGGCTACCCACTCTCAGCTGTGTCCTCTGCAAAGCTGAAGGAAGACTCTGGAAGCTTGTATAGGGAGGAAGGCTGAAGCCATGGTGATGGGCAATTCCCAGGTCAAGCCCAGCAACACAACATTGCCAGTGCATGGTAAACCTCCCCTCCAGGTGGTCTCCCAGAAGTCCCTGGAAGGAAGGTCAGAACTTGCACAGTCCCATGGTCCTCAGCCCTCCTGATGGGAATGGGGTCATTGCTTAGCTGGTCAAAAAAATGTGCCCCAAGAGCCTGTGAGGTAGGGTGACAGAAACGTGCCTAGCTGGCTCCTGGGGTCATGGCTGGCTGGTGATGGAATGGCTCAGCAAGGAGACAAAACACACCCCCTGCACTCCAGTGATCTGAGGCATCCAAGCATAGACTGAGGCCAATTCCTCTTTTTAATTTCCAAAGCTGTGGGAAAAACTGCGGCTCCAGTGGCCACCTAACTTATAGAAGGAAAATTGAGTCCTGTAACTCCTAACCCCAGGTCTTTCTCTTCACTCAACCAATGAGGAGAAATTCTTCCAAGTGCTTATTTCTCACCCCAGGCAACCCTGAGAGAGGGAGCAACTACCTGCATGTCTCCTCATCAGGACAGCTGTAGTAGGTGGCAGCGACCACCCAGAGGTCTATGTACTCGATGGGACAAGCTATAGTGCCAGATCTTTGTGTTCCTCAGATCTATGCTGGGAAAAACCTCTAGAACCTTGTGAAGCAGAGTATCTTTGTCCTTTGTGAAAGTCAACATATGATCTGTTACTGATTGGGATGTGAAATAAAACTAAAAATAACACCACTCTGAGCCTGGCTCAGACACAGCTCACCTTTAGCACAGTCCAAGTTCAGTTTATCAGATCCCAAGGAGCAGCTAAGCAGCAAGTCAAACACAGGTTGGGGAGGAGGCTGGAGCAAGGAAGGGGCTGTGTCCCTCATGAGCCCTTCCGGAGGTGGAGCACTGGACAATTGGCCAGAACTCTTAGCCAGGCAGAAATCACAAAATCTCAAGCCCACACCTCAGGTGAGGAGGCACCCTTCCCTTTTTGCCTCCAATTTCCCCACTCTGGGGATTCTAGGAGCTTCTGGCCCATTCCCTTGTTTAAGAAGCCTTCAGAACAGTCTCACAGCCTTTTGAGATAAGGGTAAATTGTAAGACATCCTACCGCTACTGGATCCTGGCAGGTCTGGCACAAACTATTCACTTACACCCAAGACACAAACAGCTTATTCAAGAGGGAAACTGAGGCAAGAACCCACACAGGGTCCCTCTCTCACCACCCTCATTTCCCCACTTTCTTAAAAGCCTGGGTGGTGCCAGAGAGCCTGCAGATCAAGGGTCAAAGTCGGTTGGTTAATTACCCCCCCTCCGAGGCGAGGCGCAGGGCAGTACGCTCCAGCCCTACCCCCAAGGCGGGGGAGAGGGGAGTTGTGAAGGGCTCTCTTGCCTCCCGACCTAGGGTTTTTGTATCGGGAGCAGACGTGTCCTAGGGCTCCGGAGGAAGATGCTGCTGGAGGAAGAGACAACTCCGGTTACTAATTCAGTTGACGCGCAGGCTGTTAAGGCGTCTTCCCTAAATAAACTAGGTACACCAGCTTCCTGGAGTATGCACCTTAGGTGTGGGGTGGGCTCCAGAACCACTTGTTGCTTAGTGTCCTCTGCAAGGGTGAACAAAGGTGGTACCCAACACCACCTTGTCTAAAGGGCAAGCAAGGTGCATCAGGTGTATTTCTCAGCAGCTCCTGGACCATCAGGCTGGGAGCCAAAGAAACTCGGTGACCCTGAACCCCGTCTCTGGGAGCAGTGTTGTGGGGGCGACTAAAGCTCCAAGTTTTCCTTTACAATGTAGCCCAAGTCGCAGCGGAAACTCCAGCTCCTTTTCAGTCCCCCGCCCTCCCCTCCAAAGTGGCATCGCTCCAGTGCACCTCTCCTGCCTCATGAAAGTCCTGGTTTTCTGGATTTACGACGCGAGAGCTCGAGG